CCTAACCTACAAAGATAGGTTAGGTTAGGTTAAGTTAGGTAGGGTTGGTTAGGTTCGGTCATATATCTACGTTAATTTTAACTCCAATAAAAAAAATTGACCTCATACATAATGAAATGGGTAGCTTTATCATTTCATGAGAAAAAAAATTGAGAAAATATATTAATTCATGAAAACTTGGCTTATTAGGCAAATCGGGCCTTGCATAGTAGGCTGAGAAGTGCGTTCTGGCTACTAGGTACGACATATATATATATATATATATATATATATATATATATATATATATATATATATATATATATATATATATATATATATATATATATACGTGCACATTCCTTCCAAAAATAGTCCATTAAAATATATATTTAAACCAATTATGTAAAACGCCATACAGATAATTATTCTGAAGATAAAATTTATTTTTGTAAATTATCAATAAACACAAAAATATTCGAAGTAATTAAAGTTTCAACTAAAGCCTAAAAATACAAAATAAAAAACTGAAAACAAAATGAATAATATTCAAAACAAATACAAAATCACTCAAAGAAGCAAGTCCCCCAAAGTATATTAATTAATTAACAAATAACTGAAATAGGTAAACTGAAGTACTCAACATAATGGGAATATACCAAGACGACCATAATTTCCCTATTACCAACATTGTGTGACGCAGGAGGACAGTTGACGCTGTCAAGACCTGTCAAGACCTGAAAAGACCTGTCAAGACCTGTCAAGACCTGTCAAGACCTGTCAAGACCTGTCAAGACCTGTCAAGACCTGTCAAGACCTGTCAAGACCTGACAAGACCTGTCAAGACCTGTCAAGGTCTGTCAAGACCTGTCAAGACCAGAGCCAGGGGCCGCGCCTGGCTGCCCCACCACCCACACGGTCAACACCCGCCCGGCCCTCCTCTTCATTTGCCACTCCGTCAAAAATCCAGCCACTTGGGGTGGACGGTAGAGCAACGGTCTCGCTTCATGCAGGTCGGCGTTCAATCCCCGACTGTCCAAGTGGTTGGGCACCATTCCTTTCCCCCCATCCCATCCCAAATCCATATCCTGATCCCTTCCCCATGGCTATATAGTCGTAACGGCTTGGCGGTTACCCCCTGATAGTTCCATTCCACTCCGTCAAAAAATCAACCTCCTAACGAAACCACAAACGTACGAACCCAACCAACCCACCGATAATCTATCGAGTCCGATGAGTAGAAAACGTATATATTTGCCAGGCATTATTTTTTTATAGGAGGATGCATTAGTAACGTTGGTTATCCTAACGTACAAAGGTACCTGATAACTGAAGAATATAACCTATCCGGGCTATCCTAGGCCTGATGTACGCTAATGGCTCAATATATGCGTGAACTATAATAGGCCTGGGACTGTTTAGGTTTGGTTTTGTCAGCCATTTTGGTGCTCTCTACAAAACGCGAACACTGTTGGTCGCAACAGTCCATTTTTGTACGTACGACCAACTGGTCGTACGTACGTACGTGCTGTAACTGTTATTCTTGGTGGATGGGAAGGAACAAGGATAGGAGGAATGCTCTGTGCTTGACCTCCACAGCCTATTCTCCCTCACAGCACCACCTCACCCGGGATCCCTCGAACTAAATCCTAATGTTAAAGTCAATTCTGACAATTACTGCCGCCGCTGCCACTGCTGCCACAGTTGTCACAGCTGCCACAGTTGTCACGCTGCCACAGTTGTCACAGTTGTCACGCTGCCACAGTTGTCACGCTGCCACAGTTGTCACGCTGCCACGGTTGTCACGCCAGCTGACTAACTCAAGTTTGAGTAATGAACGCTTTCCGGGGTCTGGTTCAACGCGGTCAGTGGCGCCTCTTGCAAGCTGGTCTTATTTAATTCCCCGCCCCTAAGTCACACACACACACTGCCGCCCTCGTCACTCCTCCCCCTCCACACTGCCGCCCTCGTCACTCCTCCCCCTCCATACTGCCGCCCTCGTCACTCCTCCCCCTCCACACTGCCGCCCTCGTCACTCCTCCCCCTCCATACTGCCGCCCTCGTCACTCCTCCCCCTCCACACTGCCGCCCTCGTCACTCCTCCCCCTCCACACTGCCGCCCTCGTCACTCCTCCCCCTCCACACTGCCGCCCTCGTCACTCCTCCCCCTCCACACTGCCACTCCGTTTACAGACCCCCCCCCCCTACACTGCTGCTCCATATTAATCACCCTCCCTCCCCCCCCCCCCCAAATGACGCCCCATGTAGAGCACCCGACCCTTTTTAACTTGCCGGAACCCCCACGTTCCGCGCCGGCAAGTCCCAATCACCTCTTTCCCCTCCCCCCCCCCCCCCCCCACAGCTAAAGTTACAAGATAATCACCTGGGTGGTTTTAAAATTGCGAAATTCGAGTGCCATGGATCTAGGTGTCGTGGCTAGTAGGAATTTAAGACAAAAAAACAATTGCATGAATATTCGAAATAAGAAAAAATAGGACACTGGGATTTATTTCTAGAAACGTAAGCAATGAAACACCAGGGGGCCAGTTTCACGAAGCAGTTACGCAAGTACTTACGAACGTGTACTTTTTTCCCTCAATCTTCGACGGCTTTGGTTACATTTATTAAATAAATTTACAAACATGAAAACTTCCCCCAATCAACTGTTGTTATTGTTATAAACAGCCTCCTGGTGCATCGAAGCTCATTAACTGTTGCATAATTGTAAACAAAGCCGCCAGAGATTGAGGAAAGATGCACAGGTTCGTAAGTGCTTGCGTAACTGGTTCGTGAATCTGGCCCCCCAGGTGTTATTCTCCAGCTATATCTGGCTCTTGTCAGGTCCCACTTAGATTATGGACTTTTGGTCCCTATATTGCTTCAACGCTGAAGCTTTGGCCACTAATCTGAGCATCTAGAGGGCCATCTTTGGTCAGCAGACCTGGGCGCTGAGGGAGTTAAGTTAAAGTCTGCGGGAGTTAAGTTAAAGTCTGAGGGAGTTATGTTTAAGTCTGAGGGTGTTTACGTCCCCTTAACTCGCCGCCGTCGAGTTAAGGGTCGTAAATGTATGCTCATCCGTGAGCATCATGCAAGGCTGAGTTATGCTAAGTGGGTCGGTCGTCTTGCCAATCTTGTGATATATTTACTCCCCTAAATAGTCTCAACAAATCTTTGCAAGTGGCTGATGTTGTTGTCATTGACTTTGTTGATAAACTGAAGAGTTTTTAAATGAAAGTCTAGAACTGTGGCAGACAACAGGGAAGGAAATGTGGACACGTTTGTGACACATTTGAGACACGTTTGAAACACGTTTTTGAAACGTTTGTGTCAGGTTTGAGACACGTTTGTGACACGTCTGAGACATGTTTGAGACACGTTTGTGGCACGTTTGTGACACGTTTGAGGCACGTTTGTGACACGTCTGAAACACGTTTGTGACACGTTTGAGACCCGTTTGTGACACGTTTGAGACCCGTTTGTGACACGAGACTAGAGATACTTTCCTGATGTGTCTGAAGTGGATTTAAAGCAATTAGAAATCCCTTTTCAGGAAGAATTTCTTGACCGCGTGCACGACTCCAGTGCACGTGATATCTTAGAGTAAAGATATCTATCTTTAATCTCGTTAAGTTTTGATACAAGATATCCAGGTTATGCACACGTGTTGCAGAGGAAGCGTAGTCGCTATCCTCGTACTTCTCCAAGCAACATAGTTGTGTGAATCTTAAATTCTCAACTTCTCATGAAGTCTGAAATGTGAATTTGGAAGCAGACCTTCAGTGACTGGCAGCAGACCTGCTCCTGCTTCTGGGCTCTCTAGGCCCAGCAGACCTGCTCCTGGGCTCCCTAGGCCAGCAGACAGCAGATTACCCTTGAAATTGCTGCCCGACCCCAGGTAAGCAATAGGAAAAATGTTCTATCAATGGACTGCCGATATATGTTCATGGAAATATTAAATGGTAATGTTGTCATTTAGTGATATTATTTACACATAAATAATAAGACTGACTGAATAAGACTGAATCTTATTCCGCGTTTTTAGTCATCATGAGGGGCCTCGTAGCCTGGTGGATAGCGAGCAGGACTAGTAATTCTGTGGCGCGGGTTCGATTCCCGCACCAGGCAGAAACAAATGGGCAAAGTTTCTTTCACCCTGAATGCCCCTGTTACCTAGCAGTAAATAGGTACCTGGGTGTTAGTCAGCTGTCACGGGCTGCTTCCTGGGGGTGGAGGCCTGGTCGAGCACCGGGCCGCGGGGACACTAAAGCCCCGAAATCATCTCAAGATAACCTCAAGATCATTACGACGGAGCTTGCATGACTAATGTTGCACAACAGCCATTTGCAAGATAAAGATTGCAAAAAACCTCATCTGTATAAAGCAGGCCTAATATTAAACCCCTCTTATCAATAAGATGAAAACCTCAGATTTACATAAAACAGAATCTTGATATACAATGATATACAGGGAGCCAGTCGGCCGAGCGGACAGCACGCTGGACTTGTGATCCTGTGATCCTGGGTTCGATCCCAGACGCCGGCGAGAAACAATGGGTAGAGGTTCTTTCACCCTATGCCCCTGTTACCTAGCGGTAAAATAGATACCTGGGTGTTAGTCAACTGTCACGGGCTGCTTCCTGGGGGTGGAGGCCTGGTCGAGGACCGGGCCGCGGGGACACTAAAGCCCCGAAATCATCTCAAGATAACCTCAAGATAGGCTTACTGATATTGACCTCCTAGCGATCAATATCATATCACACCACGCATCTTATGGGGGATAGGCCTAGCTCCTGCCTTCATATCTTTATCAGCCTATAATACTATACATCTTCGTTTTGATTATAGAAAACGCGAATATTAATTATCACCAAATATAAATTATATATCACGACTGTCAGCGTGTATGGGTCCGTCACGACTGTCAGCGTGTATGTGTCCGTCACGACTGTCAGCGTGTATGGGTCCATCACGACTGTCAGCGTGTATGGGTCCATCACGACTGTCAGCGTGTATGGGTCCATCATGACTGTCAGCGTGTATGTGTCCGTCACGACTGTCAGCGTGTATGTGTCCGTCACGACTGTCAGCGTGTATGTGTCCGTCACGACTGTCAGCGTGTATGGGTCCATCATGACTGTCAGCGTGTATGGGTCCATCACGACTGTCAGCGTGTATGGGTCCATCACGACTGTCAGCGTGTATGTGTCCGTCACGACTGTCAGCGTGTATGTGTCCGTCACGACTGTCAGCGTGTATGGGTCCATCACGACTGTCAGCGTGTATGGGTCCGTCACGACTGTCAGCGTGTATGTGTCCGTCACGACTGTCAGCGTGTATGTGTCCGTCACGACTGTCAGCGTGTATGTGTCCGTCACGACTGTCAGCGTGTATGGGTCCGTCACGACTGTCAGCGTGTATGGGTCCGTCACGACTGTCAGCGTGTATGGGTCCGTCACGACTGTCAGCGTGTATGTGTCCGTCACGACTGTCAGCGTGTATGGGTCCGTCACGACTGTCAGCGTGTATGGGTCCGTCACGACTGTCAGCGTGTATGTGTCCGTCACGACTGTCAGCGTGTATGTGTCCGTCACGACTGTCAGCGTGTATGGGTCCGTCACGACTGTCAGCGTGTATGTGTCCATCACGACTGTCAGCGTGTATGTGTCCGTCACGACTGTCAGCGTGTATGGGTCCGTCACGACTGTCAGCGTGTATGGGTCCGTCACCACTGTCAGCGTGTATGGGTCCGTCACCACTGTCAGCGTGTATGGGTCCGTCACCACTGTCAGCGTGTATGGGTCCGTCACCACTGTCAGCGTGTATGGGTCCGTCACCACTGTCAGCGTGTATGGGTCCGTCACCACTGTCAGCGTGTATGGGTCCATCACGACTGTCAGCGTGTATGGGTCCGTCATGACTGTCAGCGTGTATGGGTCCGTCACGACTGTCAGCGTGTATGGGTCCATCACGACTGTCAGCGTGTATGGGTCCGTCACGACTGTCAGCGTGTATGGGTCCATCATGACTGTCAGCGTGTATCACAGGTTGTCAGCCTGTGTCAATCTATACAGGCACCAGTTAAGCCGAAATTGGTCAATATCGCAACGATGGTGCAACCAGCTGGGACTGATCAACCAGCTGGGACTGATCAACCAGCTGGGACTGATCAACCAGCTGGGACTGATCAACCAGCTGGGACTGATCAACCAGCTGGGACTGATCAACCAGCTGGGACTGATCAACCAGCTGGGACTGATTAACCAGCTGGGACTGATCAACCAGCTGGGACCCCCTTCCCAGCAGCCAGCTGGGACCACCCCCCCCCCCTAAGCAGCCAGCTGGGACCCCCTTCCCAGCAGCCAGCTGGGACCACCCCCCCCCCTAAGCAGCCAGCTGGGACCCCCCCCTTCAGCAGCCAGCTGGGACCCCCCCCCTCAGCAGCCAACTGGGACCCCCCCTCAGCAGCCAGCTGGGACCCCCCCCCCTCAGCAGCCAGCTGGGACCCCCCCCCAGCAGCCAGCTGGGAACACCCTCCCCCAGCAGCCAGCTGGGACCCCCCCTCAGCAGCCAGCTGGGACCCCCCTCAGCAGCCAGCTGGGACCACCCTCCCCCAGCAGCCAGCTGGGACCCCCCCAGCAGCCAGCTGGGACCCCCCCCCCAGCAGCCAGCTGGGACCCCCCCCCCAGCAGCCAGCTGGGACCCCCCCCCAGCAGCCAGCTGGGACCCCCCCCCTCAGCAGCCAGCTGGGACCCCCCCCTCAGCAGCCAGCTGGGACCCCCCCTTAGCAGCCAGCTGGGACCCCCCCCAGCAGCCAGCTGGGACCCCCCCCCCAGCAGCCAGCTGGGACCCCCCCCAGCAGCCAGCTGGGACCCCCCCCAGCAGCCAGCTGGGACCCCCCCCCAGCAGCCAGCTGGGACCCCCCCCCCCAGCAGACGGCGCCATATAGCACAACATAAGAATGACGTTCCGGTTTATTGACTCTTAACGTTGTTGAGTGTGAGAGTCCAGTAGAGTGTGAGAGTCCAGTAGAGTGCGAGAGTCCAGTAGAGTGTGAGAGTCCAGTAGAGTGTGAGAGTCCAGTAGAGTGCGAGAGTCCAGTAGAGTGTGAGAGTCCAGTAGAGTGTGAGAGTCCAGTAGAGTGCGAGAGTCCAGTAGAGTGTGAAAGTCCAGTAGAGTGCGAGAGTCCAGTAGAGTGTGAGAGTCCAGTAGAGTGCGAGAGTCCAGTAGAGTGTGAAAGTCCAGTAGAGTGAGAGAGTTCAGTTGAGTGTGAGAGTCCAGTAGAGTGTGAGAGTCCAGTAGAGTGTGAGAGTCCAGTAGAGTGCGAGAGTCCAGTAGAGTGTGAGAGTCCAGTAGAGTGTGAGAGTCCAGTAGAGTGCGAGAGTCCAGTAGAGTGCGAGAGTCCAGTAGAGTGTGAAAGTCCAGTAGAGTGCGAGAGTCCAGTAGAGTGTGAGAGTCCAGTAGAGTGCGAGAGTCCAGTAGAGTGTGAAAGTCCAGTAGAGTGAGAGAGTTCAGTTGAGTGTGAGAGTCCAGTAGAGTGTGAGAGTCCAGTAGAGTGTGAGAGTCCAGTAGAGTGTGAAAGTCCAGTAGAGTGAGAGAGTCCAGTAGAGTGTGAGAGTCCAGTAAAGTGTGAGAGTCCAGTAGAGTGTGAAAGTCCAGTAGAGTGTGAAAGTCCAGTAGAGTGTGAGAGTCCAGTAGTGAGAGAGAGTCCAGTAGAGTGAGAGAGTCCAGTAGTGTGAGAGTCCAGTAGAGTGTGAGAGTCCAGTAGAGTGTGAAAGTCCAGTAGAGTGAGAGCGTTCAGTAGAGTGTGAAAGTCCAGTAGAGTGAGAGAGTTCAGTAGAGTGTGAGAGTCCAGTAGAGTGTGAGAGTCCAGTAGAGTGTGAAAGTCCAGTAGAGTGAGAGAGTCCAGTAGTGTGAGAGTCCAGTAAAGTGTGAGAGTCCAGTAGAGTGTGAGAGTCCAGTAGAGTGAGAGAGTCCAGTAGAGTGAGAGAGTCCAGTAGAGTGAGAGAGTCCAGTAGAGTGTGAGACTCCAGTAGAGTGTGAAAGTCCAGTAGAGTGAGAGAGTCCAGTAGAGTGAGAGAGTCGAGAGCCAGCGACGGTGCGCAAGTTTGGGAGAAATAGAGAGTAGCAAGGAGGGGGGGGGGCAGTGAGGGGGGAAGGAGGAGAGGGGGAAGGAAGGGGAGGGGGAAGGAAGGGGAGGGGGAAAGAAGGGGAGCGGGATGGAGGGGGAGGGGGAGGGGGAAGGAGGGGAAGGACGGGAGGGAAAAGGAGGAGAGGGGGATGGAGGGGGGAGGGGAGGGGGAAGGAAGAAGAGGGGAGGGGGGAGGAGAGGTGGGGGAAGGAGGAAGATAAAAGATGGAAGGAGAGAGGATGGACGGGATTCGAGATGAATGATGGAGAACTAAGGGAAGGGGAAGAGGGGATTTATTATGGGGAAATAGGGAGGTAATGGAGGGGAGGACTTGAACCATGACAGCGGCCCAAGAGGCTATTCGACTAACATATATATATATATATATATATATATATATATATATATATATATATATATATATATATATATATATATATATATATATATATATATATATATCTTGGACTGTCACTTGGAACTTGGAACTTTTTCTTCTGAGCAGCTAAATCTAAAACAAGGAATAGCAGACAGTACAATTCCCACAGTGATTCAGATAACTCCAGTACAGAAACTTTGGATTTACCTCACCTCTTCAACCCCCTTATATATATATATATTATATATATATATATATATATATATTATAAGATATTATAATATCTATATATATATATTATATATATATTATTAGAACTGCCAGCTTTCTTTTCCAGCGCCTCAGCGTGGCGATACAGAGGGGAAATGCGCACTCTATCCAGGGTTCCTGCCCGCCATCTGAGGAGCTGGAGGAACTCGACAACCTGTGATAACCATCTTTGTAACCTATATGTAACTCCTTTTATATATGTATTATATATATATATATATATATATATATATATATATATATATATATATATATATATATATATATATTTATTATATAAATATATATACAAAGCGTGACGCACTGACCTAATGTCACCAACACTATCGGGCTACTGATCACATCAAACAACTGTTTATGTCTTGTTTACCACCATTCGAGTCGTTGTCGTAAGTTGTTTGTGTTATGTTTAAGGGCTAAACAAGTTCCTTAGACTGTGGCCGCCGCATATATAAGCACCTGGTGATTACCGGCGATAAGATCGGGAGACGCTGAGAGCCGCGGCGTCTTGACCGACACCGTCTCCGCGGGCAGGGAGGGCTGGCGAGGGGGGCCTTAAACACGGCTGGTACAATGGACATCGTCACTTCCCTCCCTTGCTTGCCTTAACTACCAACCTGCGGACCTTCCTCCCTTCAAGGGTGTGATGGTCTTACCTTGGATGAAGAGGAGGCGGAGGATGAAGGAGGCGAGGGTGGCCATAGTGGGTGGGGTGAGCGACGTCTCCTCCTGCAGTAACAACAACGTGTTCGCCTCGTCCGGGCTGGCGCTCTCACACTTGTTGATTCACACACACACACACACACACTCCGCACACAAACACACTCTCGTTACTCTTGGCCTCCAGCCCCACACGGAGCCGGGCTCATGTTGAGGCGGGGTTGCACTGACAAGCATGCACGGTTCACCTTCCCAGTCATTAATCACGCGGGGGACACTTACGGGTGTCCATGGCTTGAGCGATCAAAGCGCGATATGTCATCATGTCGCGGCCACCTACCCTGAACGACACTTTGGCGACCACTGCTAGCTCTGCTGTACGATACCGTCGGGAACCTTCGCACACTCCCAACACAACGTTACATCCCCTCTTCTCTCAAGATACCAAACGTACTCCTTCGTGTATCCTGCGCCAATTTCATGCGTCATTTTTTTTGTTTTAAATTAGCCCTGACATTTATGCAATGAACTCGCGCAGGGACTTTGTACGTCTGGCAAGCGGCTCGAGGACGCGGTATCTATAGCAACGGGAATAAAGCGACCCAGCCTTGTGTCGGGTTATAAAAGTTTAATGAGATTTAACATCAAGGATAAACTTATGGATGTCAGACTTCAGCCACGGGGAGAGGAAGGCGGGGAGGGTAAGTAAGGGGTGAAGGAGGTCATCATAACAAGGCAAGCCTACTTATCCATCCTTCAATAAACCTACGTATTAAACCTTAACTGAAAAAAAAAACTCCTAAATGTTTTCAAATTCATTCTGACATTTTGGGAAGGTCGGAGGAAATGTGTTATGATCCAATCTTGGTGCCATGATCACGGACGTCAAGATCTCCCACCTGTGCCACACTATGTCCCTCGGGTGCTGTGTGTCGCTCAGGTGTTGTGTGTCGCTCAGGTGTTGTGTGTCGCTCAGGTGTTGTGTGTCGCTCAGGTGTTGTGTGTCGCTCAGGTGTTGTGTGTCGCTCAGGTGTTGTGTACTCACCTTGTTACGCTTGCGGAGGTTGAGCTTTAGCTCTTTGGTCCCGCCTCTCAACGGTCAATCAACTGGTGTATAGGTTCCTGAGCCTACTGGGCTCTATCATATGTACACTTGAAACTATCGGAAGTCAGCCTCCACCACATCACTGCATTCCATCTGTTAACTACTCTGACAATGAAAAAAGTTCTTTCAAATGTCTTTGAGGCTCATTTGGGTACTAAGTTTACACATGTGTCCCCTTGTTCGTGTTCCACCCGTGTTGAAGAGTTTGTCTTTGTCCACCCGCGCCAGACAGCTGTGCACCAGGGCGCCTGACAGCTGGGTGGACAGCGCTTCGGATTCGTAGTCCTGAGGTTCCGGGTTCGATCCCCGGTGGAGGCGGAGACAAATGTGCAAAATGTTTCTTTCACTCAGATACCCCTGCTACCTAGCAATAAATAAGTACCTGGGAGTTAGTCAGCTGCTACGGGCTGCTTCCTAGGGGTGTGCAACAAAAAGGAGGCTTGGTCGAAGACCGGGCCGCAGGGACGCTAAGCCCTGAAATCATCTCAAGAAGAAGATCTCAAAATAACCCTGCCAATTCCTCTGAGAATTTTGTAGGTGGTTATCATGTCTCCCCTTACTCTTCTGTTTTTCAGGAACGTGAGGTTCAGCTCCCGTAGCCTTTCCTCGTAGTTCATACCTCTCAGTTCCGGGACCAGTCCGGTGGCATACCGCTGAATCTTCTCTAACTTTGTCTTGTGTTTAACTAGGTATGGAGTCCAGGCTGGAGCTGCATATTCCAGGATTGGTCTGACATAAGTGTTATTCCAGGGATACTGAACGATTCCTTACACAAGTTTCTAAAGACAGTTCTTTGTTGGCTAATCTAGCATATGCTGCTGATGATATCCTTTTGATGTGGGCCTCTGATGCCAGGTTCGGTGTGATATCAACCCCCGGATCTTTCTCTCCATTTGACTCTTGCAGGATTTCTCCTTCCAGATGGTACCTTGTGTTCAGCCTTCTGCTCCCTTCGCCTAATTTCATTACTTTACACTTTCCTTCCTTTACACTTTCGGGGAGCCGGTCGGCCGAGCGGACAGCACGCGGGACTTGTGATCCTGTGGTCCCGGGTTCGATCCCGGGCGCCGGCGAGAAACAATGGGCAGAGTTTCTTTCACCCTATGCCCCTGTTACCTAGCAGTAAAATAGGTACCTGGGTGTTAGTCAGCTGTCACGGGCTGCTTCCTGGGGGTGGAGGCCTGGTCGAGGACCGGGCCGCGGGGACACTAAAGCCCCGAAATCATCTCAAGATAACCTCAAGATAACCTTCCTGAGTTAAACTTTAGTAGCCATTTTCTAGACCATTCCTCCAGTTTGTCCAGGTCGTCCTGTAGTCTCTGTCTATCATCGTCTGTCTTGATTCTTCTCATAATTTTTGCATCATCAGCAAACATTGAGAGGAATGAGTCTATACCCTCCGGAAGATCGTTTACATATATTAGAAACATGATGGGTCCAACTACAGAGCCCTGTGGGACTCCGCTGGTGACATCTCGCCACTCTGATGTCCCCCCCCCCTCACCGTTACTCCGTTACTCGCTGTTTCCTGTTGCTTAGATACGCCCTTATCCACTGGAGCACCTTACCTTTTACTCCTGCCTGTTGCTCCAATGCTGTGTCGCTCAGGGGATGTGTGTCGCTCAGGGGATGTGTGACGCTCATGGGATGTGTCACGCTCAGGGGATGTGTCACGCTCAGGGGATGTGTCACGCTCAGGGGATGTGTCACGCTCAAGGGGATGTGTGACGCTCAAGGGGATGTGTCACGCTCATGGGATGTGTCACGCTCAGGGGATGTGTCATGCTCATGGGATGTGTCACGCTCAGGGGATGTGTCACGCTAAGGGGATGTGTCACGCTCATGGGATGTGTCACGCTCAGTGTTGAACACGTCCTGAAGACACAAATAGTAAACACAAAGGGTAAATACACACAGACCCTGACTCTCGCAACCCCATTGTGCCCTTCTCACACCCTCTGCTTCTCTCCTCTCTCACCTCCTTTCCCCTCATCCCTCTGTTCCCCCTTACTGCCCCCCCTCCCCCTCGTGTCCCTCACTTCTCTCTATATGTTAAATCCTCCTTAAACCCTCAACACACCCTCAAGTCCAAACCCTTGACCACCCTCTGCCTCTCAACCACCCTCTGCCTCTCAGCCACCCTCTGCCTCTCAGCCACCCTCTGCCTCTCAGCTCCCCCCCCCCCCTTCGTTAACCTCTCTTACTCTGTTCCTTCTCCCCCTCCCTTTGCTTCTCAGCCTCCTGCTGACTCGTTGCCCCTCACTTCTGTCTCTCAGCCCCCCATTCCACCCCCTTTTCCCCCACTGTCTCTATTTTACTCTTTTACATTTTACTTCCTTCTAATTCTGTGTCCACCCCACCCCCCTTCCACCCCAAGTCTATCTGTACCCTAAGCCCCTCTCTGCCTCTTGGACCCTCTCGGACCTTCTCGGACTCTCTCGGACCCTCTCGAAACCTCTCTACCTCTAAGACCCTCTCCGGCCTCCTCTGCCTCTCTGATCCTCACTCTCACTTGGTCATTTACCAGTCTGTCTTCCTAAGATTTCCCATCGTCAAGAAACTGTCGTAATAAAGTGCCCTTATCCTAACCTGTCAAAACAAAAAAACAGAAAACGGAAAAGCATGTCAATTTCGCGAGTCGCTTCCATATTCTAGTACGACAATATTTTGCTCGAGGTAAAGTATACGTCAAAATGCAACGTGCTATTAGGAGGACGAGTTGCATTGGTCATTGCATTGTATTATTTGACCATTCACTGCCTGACAGTGCATGACTAAGTAACTAGATTACAAAAACGAGGAGGTGAACATACAGAAAATAACAAGGAAATTTGCAAGAAACTAAATGCCAGTTTCCATGAAGTGTTCACGACTGACCCCGAATGCTGAAAGAGAAGGTATCCCTTGATCAGAGGTTCATATACTGAGGCAACAACAGAGGAAGTTAGGAAACAACTAGCACCACTAGATGAAACTATAGCTATAGGACCAGACAATGTATCATCATGGATGTTAAAAGAAGCGACACAGACCCTCACCATACCTCTAGCATCGACCTTCATGTATTCAATTAAAACGAGATCATTAGCCCAGCTGCCGCAAGAAGGCCAATTTGGTACCAGTTTATAAGAAAGAAGGCAGGGAAGAAGCACTTAACTACAGAACAGTATCACTGAAAAACATCCCTGAAACGTACTCGAAAGAATTATATAAATAAAAAATATCTAGAGAGCATTAGGTATGTAAACGAACATCAATATGGCTTTAGGGAAGGAAAGTCTTACTGAACAAACCTACATTTTCGCGAATAGCAACAGAAGAAGAGGGAAAGATTTGAAGCGTGAGACTGAAATGAGTCGTAGAGATATTAGAATGTTTTCTTTTGGCGTAAGAGTAGTGGGGAAATGGAATGAACTAACGGAGCAGGTTGTAGAAGCAAACTACATTCATAATTTTATAAGAAGATACAATAGGGAAATAGGCCAGGAGTCAGTGCATTAGACAACTGGCGACAGGAGAGGCGGGGTCCAAGAGCGAAAGCTGGATCCCAATAGACAGAAATAGGTGAGTATACACACACAATAGGAACATCAAACAAATGGGCAGAGCATGAAGAACCAGACCTCACTTGTACGCAGGCACTGATATGTAAGTCCTCCCCCCGTCACACACACACACACACACACACACACACACACACACACACACACACACACACACACACACACACACACACACACACACACACACCATGAATATTTAACTCTCCGTAATTAACTAAAAGCGTGTATGCTTAATGTACCCCTGGCGTACCAGGACCGTTGTGTCGGGGAGTATGACGGACCAGATAATTGGGAGCCGGGCGGCTGGCTGCTGCTACCGCTGACCATGCCGTGGTCCCGGCGGCGCCACCCGCAACCTTCCATAGTAAACCTTGCCTTTATTAGGCGTTTGTTATAGTAAACCTTTGTAGTATTAAACGTTTGTAGTATTAAACGTTTGTAGTAGGGAACGTTTATGTTATTAAACGTTTGTATTATTAAACGTTTTGTTTTACATTTCCTTTTCCCTCTGCGCTCCTTATCTTTTCTTTTTTATCCTTTTATCTTTGCACTTACTTCCACCCGTCATTCCATCTCACACCACCTCCCCTCTTCCCCCCCCAAGCCGCAATGGTGGGGGGATTTAATGCCTTCGTGTCTACATGAGACCAGAAGACATGGCAGGATGTGCAGAATACCCCCGTTGAAAAGCAGAGGTGCAACAAGTTCTCTCTGAGAGAGAACTCTATGAACATCAGAGGTCCGAGATTGTTCAACACACTTCCGCTACACATAAGGGACATAACTGGCCGACCCCTCACAGTGTTCAAGAGAGAACTCGATAAGCACCTCCAAAGGATACCTGATCAACCAGGCTGTGATTCATAAGTCAGGCTGCGAGCAGCCACGTCAAACAGCCTGTTGACCAGACCAACACCGAGGAGGCTTGGTCGAGGACCGGGCCGCGGGGACAGTAAGCCCCCGAAACCATCTCAAGGTACCCTCAAGGTAAGGTGATTTCTTGTGGTCCCGAAGACTCTGTTTCAGTTTGGTG